TTTCTGGAGGAAGCTAAGAAGAATTATCAGTCCCCCTTAGCACTACCTATTACAATTTGTAGTCTCTTCCATTAACACAGAGACTATGGTAATGTAATTAATGCCGTTAGTATGATAGTTCACTCTGTCCTCTGGAGTAAGAAAAATGATTCTGTTGAAATTCAAACGAAAAGGATAGAGCAGTCATCATCTCAGTCTTTGCTCCCTGAAAAACATAAAATCCCTCTAATGTCAATCAGTTCTTGTTACACAGTCAGAGGAGATCTAATTTAAAACACTTCATATATTGTTTCTGAATTTTATCTAGCACCCCATGCTCTAATTTTATAATCTCTGTCTCATTGTTTGATCAATTTGCCACAATATTAACTCTTCACTTAAAGATAACAGTTCAAATTCATGAATTAACATAGATCCTTTGCCTCTAATGAAGCTGTGATGATTTGTCAGTCAAGTACAAGGCTCTGCCTTCTATTTTTAAAACTCTTCTGCTTGATTCAGATGGTATTTATATGGTTTATGTACTGCAGTGAGGGCCAAAGTAAGATTCATACAGAAAATACTTATTATTCTAAAGCTGGATTGTTTATGCTTAATACCTGAGTTTTCAACATATGATTTACCAAGGGACTCTAAAGAGGATTTTTATTTATTAACTGAAGGCAGCTTACTATGTTGCTTAATAACATCACATTTACTAAGTATACTAAAATGTACACCAAGCCACTCCTTGCTTCATGTATGTGAACGACTGGGTGTAAGGAAACACATTTTTATTTCTAATATTTTGAATTGCAACAAAAAATCATTGTTTGCCTATAACCTACTAGAGGGACTCACAGCTCAGTCTTAAATGCAGAATATTAATCTTAAAAGCAGAATATTCTTAAAACAGCTGCTGATGACTTTCTTGATGTTTATTCAAGGCTTTGAGCAAGCACAATGTTACCTGTGTGTTAGGCGACCCCACATTATTTTCTCTATCCATAAGGTCCAAATCCTCCAAAAGATGCCTCTAAAGTTTATATTCTAACACTGTTCTAATTTGCAAACATAAAAAAAAAAAAAAACACAAAATACTTTTTTTTTTTTTTTTTTTTTCTGGAGAATCCTATAAAAATATTACAGTGCCATTTCAGTGTAAGATTCCATTCCTTTCAATGTGAACCTGTATGAAAGGCTGTGGATGTGGTCTACCTTGACTTCAGCAAGGCTTTTGACACCGTTTCCCACAGCATTCTCCTCAAGAAACTGGCTGCTCTTGGCTTGGACTGGCGCACGCTTCGTTGGGTTAGAAACTGACCTTATCACTCTGTATAAGTATATTAAAGGAGGCTCTAGCGAGATGGGGGTTGGCCTGTTCTCCCATGTGCCTGGTGACAGGACGAGGGGGAATGGGCTAAAGTTGCGCCAGGGGAGTTTTAGGTTAGATGTTAGGAAGAATTTCTTTACTGAAAGGGTTGTTAGACATTGGAACAGGCTGCCCAGGGAGGTGGTTGAGTCACCATCCCTGGAAGTCTTCAAAAGACGTTTAGATGTAGAACTTAGGGATATGGTTTAGTGGGGACTGTTAGTGTTAGGTCAGAGGTTGGACTCGATGATCTTGAGGTCTCTTCCAACCTAGAGATTCTGTGATTCTGTGATTCTGTGAATTCCAAATAATAATATCTAGAAAAATGGATGCAAATACTGGTATACTTGAAATACCTGGGCACTCTTTGCTCTTAATTTCACTACAATTCTTGCTTTGAAGACCTGTTTGTAGTAACCTGTTGGAAAACATTGATTTGTGAGCTAGGGAATTGCTTGTTATATATATATATGTATGATATATATGTTTATTATATATTCATATATATGATATATTTTATATATGTATGTGTGTATATATACATTTTTTTCCATGTGGAAATGTACCTGTCTCAATGTGATTGCTTGGTTCCAGATGGAACTTAAGAATGACTCAGGTTGGGGTAGTGTTGTGAAAAGTCGACTGGAGTTCTTTTGCAGGACGATTTAAGATACTTTTTTGTTTAGAAGTACTGTTGACTGTTTTGTACTTAATCAAGGACTGGATAAAAGCTGGTATTGTGTATAAATTGAAATTGTGAGGAGAGAAGTGGGATTGAAATTTAAATTCTGAGGAGAGAATGAGGAGAGGAAGGGGATAAAAAAAAAAAAAGTATTTAGAAAGGAATGTATATGTAATTAACACCCTCTTCTTACCCAGCAAGGAAGCCAAATAATGAAGAATACATTCAGAGGCACATCAAAAAGTTGCTTGAGGAACACCTAATTACCAGGAAATTCAAGTTAGAAAAAGAGTCTCCCAGCACAGTGTAAGCAATCTCTTGTGCTGCTGAAAAAGAAAAACTACCTGCAAGTCACAGTAACCTTTGGGGATTGCTTTAGGTGTTTGGTTTACAAGGTCTGGAAATATTCAAGCCAAAGGCATGGTAAATCTGACAGTGTTTGTGGCTGTTGTTGCTTTGAAAAACAAGCTGCTAAAAGCAGAAAGTATGCAAAATTCTTGACCTTCTGTTTTCGTGGCAACAAAGCATTTTTTTCCTTAGCCTGTTATTGGTCTAAAGATATGGCCACAGAGCAAAGTGCAATGCCCTGAGGTAGCAGACCTAAAAAAAAAATCTGCACTGAAGTACAACCCCTGCAGACAGTTTGATTTCCAGAATGGTGTGTATTTCTGTACCTATGATATGACCACAGATCCCAATAGAGATTATTAATTAGGCCTGGTGTACCTAATAGTAGTATTATTAGGTCTGGACTGACATACACTTCATTGGGTTAAAAACTGGCTGGATAGCTGGGCCCAAAGAATTGTGGCGAGTCAAATCCAATTGGAGACTGGTCACTAGTGGCGTCCCCCAGGGCTCAGTACTGGGGCCAGTCCTCTTTAATATCTTAATCAATGATCTGGATGAGGGGATCAAGTGCACCCTCACTAAGTTTGCAGATGACACCAAGTTAGGTATGTGTATTGATCTGCTTGAGGGTAGGAAGGCTCTGCAGGAGGATCTGGATAGGCTGGACCGATGGGCTGAGGCCAACCATAAGAAGTTCAACAAGGCCAAGTGCCGGGTCCTGCACCTGGGGCACAACAACCCCAAGCAGAGCTCTGTAGCTGGGAGATGAGTTGTTGGAAAGCAGTCTGGCAGAGAAGGACCTGGGAGTATTGGTTGATAGACAGATGAAGATGAGCCAGCAGTGTGCTCAGGTAGCCAAGAGGGCCAACAGCATCCTGGCTTGCATAAGAAACAATGTGGCCAGCAGGGCTAGGGAAGTGATTGTCCCCCTGAACTCGGCTCTGGTGAGGCTGCACCTTGACTAGTGTGTTCAGTTTTGGGCCCCTCACTACAATAAGAACATGGAGGTGCTCGAGAGAGTCCAGAGAAGGGCAACAAAGCTGGTGAGGGGTCTGAAGAACAAGTCTTATGAGGAGTGGCTGAGGGAGCTGGGATCGTTCAGCCTGGAAAAGAGAAGGCTCAGGGGCGACCTTATTGCTCTCTACAGGTACCTTAAAGGAGGCTGTAGCAAGGTGGGGATTGGTCTGTTCTCCCATGTGCCTGGTGACAGGATGAAGGGGAATGGGCTAAAGTTGTGTCAGGGGAGATTTAGGTTGGATATTAAGAAGAACTTCTTTACCGAAAGGGTTGTTAGGCATTGGAACGGGTTGCCCAGGGAAGTGGTTGAGTCACCACATCAAGACATTTAGATGTTGAACGTAGTGATATGGCTTAGTGGAGGACTTGTTAGGTCAGAGGTTGGATCTTGGAGGTCTCTTCCAACCTAGATGATTCTGTGATTCTGTGATAGGTGCCATCACACTTCAAATATGGTCACGTCTGTAGACTGTTTACTCACATTCAAGAACTCATTTGTTAAACCTTATTTACCTGATAAATCATATAACTGTAAACTAAGTGAACATCAGCAGCTTGCAATGCCTCATTTCAAACTGTACAAATTCAGTTCTGCCACCAGAGAATAATTCGGATCACCACTTTTTTAGATACAGAAGCCAAGAGTAGTTAACTCTGATGATTAATGATTAGCTATCATCATATACCTACTATAGACTTCATTAGCATTTACATAGCAAAATAAATTTCAGTCTATACGTAGTATCCAAGTCCAGTTTTGATGGCTAACATAGTACCTAGGTCACAATTCTGTATCAGACAATTCTAACAAAAAGAAGGAAATTGGTGGAAAAGAAATATTTTGTTGACTTTTTATGTTTTTTTTTTTTTTTTTTTTTTTATTTTTTAAAATCTCTCTCAATCTAAAAAGCTTTGGCCCTTTCACAATCAGCTCTGTATTTTAAAACAAAGACAGTTTGAATCTTACCATAGTCCATAGTTTATAATTTCTTATAAATGTTTTTCATTTAATAAATTTTGCATACACTTTAATTAATAAACTGATTCTTATCCAGAAAATGGTGATCAATGACTACTGCAAACCTGGCACAAACTTGTTAGATTTACTTCAAGAAATAGTTATATTTCTTAATGCTTATTCAGTTTTTCTCACTATGATGATTCCTTCACATGAAAGATAACAGTGTTTAGTGTCCCTGCACAGTGCCTAGGACATTTTAAGAACCATAAGATATTCTAAGTATCATAAAATACTCAATGTGATATAGATTAAAAACTTCTATATTCCTCTTTCTTTCTTAGTATGACAGATATGACAGACATCTAAAACTTTGCATTTTCTAAAGAAGTAAATCCACTACCTAGAAGCACTTTATACATAGCAGGATTTCTAATAAAATTTATACATTTCCTTTGGGCTCATTCAAGCTTAGGTTTTTGTTTGAGTATAGCATTCTATCATTATGAATTTAAACAAATGTAACAGGTAACAGAATAAGGGTGGCAAAGATTTTTGTCTGGTTAATGATTCCTGGTAGTTAGGAAAAGGTTAATTCAAAATCTAGGAATTAACAAAGTACATTGTGCTATGTGATCAAATGAAAAACTGGATCTTTAATTCTGAAGCTCCCTTCCTCACCAGAACACAAAAAACCTTCTTCTTGTTACAAGACAGTAAGTTTCTTGTTATTATTACCCATTCACCTGAAGAAAAGGAAAGCTCACCTCCCAGTTCTGACTTGGTTTTTATACTATGACATTTACATTTGATTTTAGCTTTCAGTGTCAATTATTGAGCCTTGTAAGAGTGAGATACTTTCAACAAGATACTTTTTTTTATCCTTATTTTGACAGGATTGTTCAATAAGCATACATATTAAACCTTTTGACTTGCAAGCAGCACTTAGGAAAAATAAATTAATCTGAACAGATGTTGGAAACAGATTTTTGTATTACAAACCGGACACTTTGGTATAGAACCATGTCTTGGAATTAAAAATCAAATGAATTTCCACCTAATGGAAGCCTCTTTTAGAAATTATGTCTAATATAAATAAATATTGGTGAAATTTAAATGGTACTCAACTGGTACTCTTCATTTTAGTTAGAGATGGGTTGAAAAGGTGATCAGAGAGGAAGAACCACATTATTATATTATATCACTAAGATTAGGCACCAACGTAAACTGGAGATCTAGATTCACAATTAACTGTTTGAAATTTCTGTACTTTTCTTATAGCATTTCAGACTTGGACTTCGGAAACTTAATTGTTAGACTGACTTCTAAGTCACAGCATCAAAGATACAGTTGAGATAAGGTTTCCATCACTGTGACTAGTGTAATTGCCACTCATGTGTGACCAAACTCACAAGAGTTTCCTCACATGTACTTCAAAACTTAGATATAAAATGACTCTTGAATTCCTATATTGAACCTGAACAGTTAAAAGTTACAAAGGCTGAGCTCTGACATGCCTCATCTCAGAATATCAGACAACTCTATACTGTAACTAATCTGTTATTTTAAAATCCAGTTTTCCAGAGCTGAGTTTCACCTTAGAAAATGGGGGCATGGTATTGATCTGATCCCCTGTGATCACCAGTGGAACACAAAAAAATCACTGGACAGATTTAAAAGGCCTTGATAGTGAGGAGTTCAATGTTTAGTCCTCAGGTACCAAGTGTACTTGATTTAGCACATTGAGGGCTAATCAGTCTGACACTTTCTCCTACCTCTTTTCTCCCACTATAAAGATAAAACAAAGTATTACCTGCAGGAATGGTTACACTCTTCAAAGCACAAGAGAATGACTGTTTCTCATGGATATTTTTTTTTCCTTCTCTGAAATAGGGAGCAGTACTTGGACTTCATTATTCATTATTCAAACAAAAAAAAAAATTAGTCCTGAGAACACCCATCATGGAGATCACTGACCACAACACTGCACACTGTGATCTCTTCCTTTTCAATTCTGAAAAAAAAAAAAAGGTGGAAAGCTTTGGACCACTACTGGCAATTACCCACAATTACCACAACTACCACTACTTTGAATATAATATTAAAAGATAGTTAAACTAGTTAAATGAAACTCATCCATAATGCTAAAGCAGAAGTGTCCTAGGAAAAAGAATGATATTTTTTTTATTTAATAATGGATATTAGAATACTTTAATTATTTATAGCATTGTTTATTAATTTATTCTTGTGTATATTCTACTCTGAAGACTGTTGCAATTACCTATGTATTTTAATCACAGTGGATTTCAAATGGCAGTATTTATCCTCACAGATGCTGAAAAAAATATATAAATACATTTTAAATGGAAATATAGTTGTGCTCTTTCTTTATGGAATTGACCATTCTTTGAGTTTTACTTTCATCAGCTGATCCATGAATACTTGATTAATTAAATGCATTCAATTGAAAGTTTAACATCTTTTCAGAGGAAAGTGAAAATGAGTATCTTCTTACATGTTGAAGTAAGAAGATACTCATAAGAATGCATACTAAAGATTAAATTTATTATGTAGCCAAATAAACACCAATTGGAGGGTTCAATAAAGATTTTTTTTTTTTTGCTTCAATTTAAGTGTGTTTTTTTTTCACTTTCAAAAATAAAAATAACTCACCCTACCAAAAATAAATCCAAAGCATATTAACATTTGTATGTATCTTTCTGAGTTTATTTAAACTGTGTTCAGTTCTCCCTTGGCAGATTTTCTTTCTCAATAACTGAAGAAAATAAAATGTAATGTTATTACTTTTCAGGAATGAAATGAAACACTTCAAAAACAAGAGATAAAAATGCAAAAGCATTTGCAAAACAAACATTTGCAAAACAAAATCTGGGTCACAGAAGATTTTTGTAAGCAAAAGTGACAGAATAATGAAAGCAATATAACTATAACATTTCCAGTCATAGAAATTAAGATCATATCTAACATTAAGAATATCTACACTGAGAACTTGTGTCCTTTCCTTGTCATGCTGCTGTGTGACCTCTGGGAGTGAGAATTTTCCTTCACGTTTTTTGAAATGTAATGCTGATAAATTGAACTGGTAACAATATTCATCCTCTTCTATGACCTCATTATACCTTATAAGATTTGATGTACCATTTTTTTTTTTGTTTGCTTGTTTTCCATTAGAGCATCTCTGTTTGCTGTCTTTGTGAAAAATCCTACTGTTGCTTAGAAGATAATTGATTTCTTTATGAAAATTTTGAATTTAGCAATTTTCTGATGTATTTTTCTTTTCACTTTTTTCATGTCTAAAGGACTTCCACCTTTAGTAATTCACTAGTTTCTGATTATTTTGTCTGAATTTCTGATTGTTAAGGTTGAAATCACTGGCTGCCCTTTTTTTCCTTTTCCTGTTTGTAACCTCAAAGAAACTGGCCACAATGAAAAAGCTACTGTTCTTAGTTGGACAAAGGCAATTTTGCAACAGTGAAAGTAGCTGCCATGTTTGTTCTCTACCTGTGAACAGAGAAAAGAAATAGATAGCTTAAAAAAGAGATAGCTTAAAAAAGATAGCTTTAAAAAAAAAAAAAAAAAAAAAAGCAGACTAGAGTGCATAGAGGAAACAGAAACAAACAAGGTGTTAGCTTGGAGAGCTGAAAATAATACGAAATGAATGTGAAAAGCTGAGGACAAAAGGGAAAACTGAAGAATCAAGTAGCAAGGAGCAATAGCAGATTCTGTAGTAACCTGCTTCCCTTGAGAACTAACACAGACATGCCAACACATAGTGCAAATAATGGCAAGTCTAATTCTAGCTTTTGATCATAAAGCTGTTTCAGTGTTACCTCCTGGGATCATCTTCTGTCTTAACATAATTATAGCATTTTATGAAAAGTTTTCTTAACACAAAGCAACATCTAATACCATGTTAATTTATTGAGAAAATTCGCTTTTTCTTTTTCCTATTCAGAAAAGAGGGAGCACCTCAGGTGTTTGCTTATCCAGAATGTGCCTTATTTTAATTTTGTAAGTTTTAGAATGAAAATGCTATATTCTCCTTTTAATAAAGGGAGTCCTCACAGAGGTTTATTTTAATAAGCTTAATCAGACAGAAAAATATGCATTATGGGGTATTTATTGCATAAGGTAATGTTTGTCCAAACAGGTTATAGGAGCATTTTCAGATTTCAGAATTTTCAGTATTACTCTTTTATTTTAACATTGCTACAAATGATCCTAAGAAATAAATGGACTCTGATGCCAATCCTCTGGGTGGAGATACAAAGGGAAAAGCAGCACAGCTTTACTATAAAAAGTGCTGCAAGCTGTATTTAGTGAGACACACTATTAATTGCCTGTATTATGCTGGTGGTATTCTCTGGGGCATTGAAAACTCATATTTACCAATGTGTCCTACTGGAAATAGAGTAAATAGCAAATCTATCCTTTTAGTTGTAAAGAGACTGTAAAGCTTATAAAAAACAAACAAACAAACAAACAAACAAATAAAAATCTTAAAACTCAGTAGATAGAAGCTCATAATGGAGTCCTTCACTCAGAAGATGTTGCTTTGCTAAAATTACAATATTTTTGGGATTTTTTTTTTTTTTTCTAAAGGGGAAAGGACTCTCGTACAACTTTCATGACTTTCATGTCCAGCAGATACTCAGACTGCAACACAGAAATGTGCAGCAGAAACAGGTAATAAACTATAATTTCAGCAGAAATAGTCATGTTAATCACAAGGATGAAATCTGTGTTATACATAAAATAGGAAAACCTGAAAGGATTACTTTGTTCTAAGCCAAGAAAGATCCCAATTTCCATTTGTGTTATGTGTTAAGAAATTGATTCATCCTTATTGTCTGCAAAAGTCTATGTAAGACTGGCCAAAGCTAAAGGTAAGTGAAAATTTCACTTCTGCCATTTACTTTTGAACTCTTAACTTTTTAAACATGATTCTCAAGGGTTTTTTTTTATAATTATTATTATTTTTATTTTTATGTTTTAATGTAGTCATGACAATGGACTTCATGATAGTTCCTACAAGCAAGTTGTCTGAGCAGAAAGATCATCAAAGCAACCTTCAGACACATGGCACATATTAGTCTTCTCTTCCCCAACAATGCCATTCAGCCTAGTGTGCATGTTCATCATGATAAATACGTGTAATCTTGTGGAGTTAGACACCAATGCAACACCTATGTACCAGGACATCTCAGAATATTAAATATTGCTTCAGAAAAAATGTATTTATGCACATGTTGACAGTTCATTTTCAGGTGGGAACTTCTCAGCTGTTCTGCATAGAGCTACTTCAATCTTCAGTCTTCCCACTGTGAAATTTTAGACAACTCATCTGCTGAGCGCTTGCCAGCCCTATTAACATTTATACATTCCATACACATTCTAGTCAGAGCATGTAAGTTGCAGATCTCTCTGGTTTAGAAGCTATTAAGATTCTTGACCCCTTTAGCTATTTAATCCATGGTCCTGAAGCCTTTGCAATCAGCTTACTCTTGAAGAAGAAAGGATAAATCATTATTGTTCAAATATTGTCCTGCATTGTGTCCTTTCGCAGTCCATCAAAGAGCAATTAAGAGCTTCAGTGCATTCATTTATCTCAGAGACACAGGTTATAAGGCATTCTTTTATTGGAAGAAGAGAATAGAATGTTATTTACTCAGTTGCATTTAATTTTGGCTTAATGACTTTAGCTGTAGTTGCTTCTCTGCATAAGAAATAAAAGCCAACTCATGTTTTTCTGTTCTCATATCTTAACATCAACTTTGGTGCATTGTAAAAGGGTACACTAATGCTTTGCCAAAGACACACAGGTAGAAAAACACATGGAATTCTTCTGGAAATTAACGTTAACACAACCTGAAGTGAAAGTTAGCACCCTCCTTTCCCCCCCACCCTTGCCCCTGTAAGGATTTTATGCATCTTCTTAGAATGGCACAGTGATCCATAGCTATCACAGACTTATTTTCCAGGATCCACAAGAGTTAGCATTTTATTAAATTTGTGTGGGATTTTCATCTCATGAGTGACTTCAGGCATCCACAGTTCCCAGTAAGTGCAATGAATAGCAGGAATTCAGTATCACTCATGATTAAGATTTGAAGTGTATAAAGGAATTAATTTTAGTCTGTAGCAGAAAGCAAAGGGAACAAAATTAAAGTGGGACAAGTCTTGGGATACTCAGATTAAGCAGCAGAACTCGTAATTACCATCTAAAGAGCCTGTTAGCTTCTTTCCCGTGAATTCTTTGGATTAGGATTTCTTACAGACTGGGTTGCAAATTATTATCATGATACAATTATTATCATAATAATTCTATTATGTAATGCTGCTTTAAAAAAAAAAAAAAGTATTATACACTGATTTAAAAAAAAATCACTTGTTTTAAAAACATTAAGGAAAGTTTTGTGTGTGTTTGTTGTTGATGTTGTTGTTGTTTGGCTGTTTGGTTGTTTTTCTTGCACCTGAAAAAATAAATAATGAACTAAGGTATACTAACATTCTTATGTGTATATATATATATTAATATATATATATATATATATAATATATATATATATATATATATATATATATTGCGATTTCTTTTAAAGCTGTTATCAGTGAGAGACATTTTTCTTCCTGTTTTGTTTTGTTTCCTAGGAGCAAATTATGTTTAGAAAGGTAATTCTTTTGGTAAAACCTGAACCATACTAAAAGAAAGTGATGTCTTCAGACCTTCCATATAGAATAAAAGTCCAAAAATGTAATAATACCAGAAATTTTGAAATGGCATTAGAGCCTATGCTCAGTTCATTTTCATAGGGGACCTGAGTTCATATGCTATGAAAGTTTGTTGAAATTTTCAGCATTTACTTCAACAGGAATAAGACATATATTGTTGATATTGTTTATAGCATATAGTGTGCATCTTGCACTGTTTCTTGTACCTTTTGAGTGTTCTTCTCTAAGAACACTCAAATGAAAAGGTGATCTTTCTTTAAATGATTTGTTTTCAGCTGCTGTCTTCCTGGAGGAAGTCATAAAGTTTCTGTCTGTGATATTATTGTTTTCTATGCAATGAAATGATGTGTTCAGTTTAAGCCATGGTTTATCTAAAAGTTCAATTTATAAATAATTTGTAAAAAAAAAAAAAAGGTTTAGACTTACCAATGTATTTTTATAGTATATGTTAAAAAGCTCTTGGACTGTTAATGTGAGACAGGCAAATTTTTTTGCTCAGAACTTTCAGACCTCTAACATTAAATCACTCTTCCCTGTTGCAATATATTCACAATGTCTCCCATCACTTCATTTTTCAGACAAGGGCTGCAGTTTATAAACAGCGTTTGAATTATGACTTGAGGGGGGGTGTCACAGTTGAAAATCTATTAGCAGCTGCGGGAAGATCAGGTTCAAACTAGAGCTATGCAGAAAACAGGATCTCCATTTTGCTGGAAATTTTGAAATTTGAAATTATTTTCATCTTGCTTAAGAATGGCAAGCTGAAAATACAAAGTTTTTGTCAGAACATCAAGGGCTGAAAAACTTGTTTTCAGGAGAGAATTTTATGTAGCTATGTTGGATCCCAAGTTCCTGAGTAAAAAAATCTGGCAAAATCTGGGATATTTTAATTCCCTTGTATTGATGGGAAAATTATGTTATCTGAAAAATGTATGCAAAGGTACCTAATGATCCCACCTGTGATAAAAACAGAACAAGAAGAGAAAAGGGGAAAACATAAGTTTTTTGTTTGTTTGTTTGTTTGTTTTTCAGGAGCAAGTGTGTACACTTGTGTTTATGGTGATATTGAAAGGAAATTGGGGAAGGACTTAAAAGGGAGGATGCTGTGAGGCTAGTGATATGAAATCTCAGTGCTATAAGTGCCAGAACAGCCTTCCTATATGAGCCACCTTCCTCTGATTGACCTATTAGAGACATTGCAATGGAGAAGATTGTATTCCTTACCAGTATGGTAAAAGAAAAAGTTATTTTATCAAATTTTTACTAAGAATGACAGTAGCTATAGAATCCTGGAAATGAAAATTAAGGATCTGAAGATGATTATTTTGAGTTTAGGGATGGGGTGAGGTGTGGCCTCAGAGGTCATCCCAGAATTCTGACAGCACCTTTTGCTGTGGTATTTAACCTGAACATAAAACCTTACCGATGTTGCAGTCCCAATTCTAGCTCTGGAACTGGACTGGGAACTAGTGATGCCCAGTTATTTTCAGACATCCACAGTCTTCCCAGCAACAGTATAGAGCCTTTCAGACCAAACCTGAGCCTGTCATCAACAGACTGGTGACTTTTCACCTCAGCTTCAGAAGTGCTCTTTGAAATCTCAGGAATCTGTGGACCTCCATTTTAAAAGTACTGTTGCAAGCACCAGTGTACTTCAGGAACTGTCATGCTCAAGGGAAATGGACTCAAGCCCTGGAGCTGGCTGGGCTCATCGAGAAGTCTTTCAACTAGGTATGAAGGGGGATGGGGATGAAACGAGGCTCAGTGAAGATGAGCCTGGGGCAGCAGTCCCATGATTGGGGTAAAGGCCATGCTGCAACTGAAGTGCATCTACACTAATACACGCAGCACGGGCAAAAACAGGAGGAGCTGGAAGCCATCGTGTGGTAGGCAAACTATGACCTAGTCGCCATCGCTGGAACATGGTGGGACCACTCCCACAACTGGAGTGCTGCAATGAATGGCTACAAGCTCTTCAGAAGGGACAGGCAAATAAGGAGGGAAAGTGGTGTGGCTCTCATTATTAGAGAGTGTTTCAGTGTTGTTGATCTTGGGTTTGGGAATGATAAGGTAGAGTCCCGGTGGATAAGGATCAGGGGGCTGTCCAACAAGGCTGACATCCTGGTGGGACTCTGTTATAGACCGCCAAATCAGGATGAAGAGATGGATGAGGTATTTTATAAGTAGCTGGCAGAAGTCAGGTAATCGCAAGTGCTTGTTCTCATGGCTGACTTTAACTTCCCAGACATATGCTGGAAATATAATACAGCCCTGATGAAGCAGTCTAGAAGGTTCCTGGAATGTGTGGAAGACAGCTTTCTGACTCAGCTTGTTAGTGAGACTAGCAGAGGGGGTACCCCACTAGACCTGCTGCTCAAGAACAGAGAAGGACTGGTGGGAGATGTGGTGGTCGGGAGCTGTCTTGGGCAGAGCGACCATAAAATGGTATTGTTCTCTATCCTTGGTGAAGTTAAGATGGGGATCAGCAAAACTGTTACCTTGGATTTCCAGAGGGAAGACATTGGGAATCACTCCCGAAGGGCAGAGGGGTCTAGAAAGGCTGGACATTCCTCAGGAACGAAGTCTTAAGGGTACAGGAGCAGGCTGTCTCCATGTGCCATAAGACGAGCTGGCAGGGAAGAAGACAGTTGTGGCTGAATAGGGACCTTTTGCTGAATGTCTGGGAGAAAGAGAGTTTATGTCTGGTGGAAGAAGGGACAGGCTACTTGGAAGAGTGCAAGGAAGTTCTCAGCATATGCAAAGAAAAAAAAATCCAGAAGGCCAAAGACCAGCATGAGTTTAGCCTGGCCACTGTGGTTAAGGATAACAAAAATTGTTTTTATAAATACATTAACTGCAAGGAGAGGGCCAAGGAGAATCTCCATCCTCTACTGGATGCAGGGGGGAACTTGACTGCTGAGGATAAGGAAAAGCCTGGGATTCTTAATGCCTTCTTTACATCCATCTTTAGTAGCCAGACCACTTATCCTCTGGGTACTCAGTTGCCTGACCTGGAAGCCTGGGACAGGGAGTGGAAGGAACCCCCCACAGTTCAGATGGAAAGAGTTAGGGACCTCCTGCTCCACCTGGACTGTCACAAGTCCATGGGGCCAGATGGGATCCACTCAAGAGTGCTGAGGGAGTTGGCAGATGTGGTTGCTGGGCTGCTTTCCATCATCTATCAGTGGTCATGGTCATCTGGAGAGGTCCCAGATGGCTGGAGATTTGCTAATGTGAAGGCCAACTATAAGAAGGGTCATAGGGGAACTACAGGCTTGTCAGCCTGACCTCGTTGCCAGGAAAGGTGTTGGGACAGGTCATCTTGAATGCAGTCATACAGAATATGTGGGACAACTGAGGGATCAGGCCCAGTCAACATGGGTTCATGAAAGCCAAGTTCTGCCTGACCAACCTCATCTCCTATGACTGGGTCACCTGCCTGGTGGATGAGGGAAAAGCTGTCTACCTAGCAAGGCCTTTGATACAGTCTCCCATAGTATTCTCCTGGAGAAGCTGGTAGCCCAAGGCTTGGACAGGTACACTGCTTGCTGGGTTAAAAGCTGGCTGAATGGCGAGGCCCAGAGAGTGGCGGTGAACAGAGTGAAACCCAGCTTGTGACTGGTCACCAGTCGTGTTCCCCAGGGGTCAGTGTTGGGGCCCATCCTCTTAAATATTTTTATTGATGATTTGGATGAGGGAATTGAGTGCACTTTCAGTAAGTTTGCAGATGACACCGAGTTAGGGGGAAGTGTCGATACGCTGGAGGCCCTGCAGAGGGAACTGGACAGGATGGTTTGATGGGCTGTGTTGGGTCTGTCTGAGCTGGAGTCACCTCTTCCCTGCAGCAGCCCACACAGTGCTGTGTTCTGCACTCGTAGCTGGAACAGCACTGATATCACTCAAGTGTTGTGTCTATTGCTGCATAGTGCTGGCACAGCATCAAGACTCTTTCCAAGCCCCCAGGAGCCAGCAGGCTGGGGGTGGGCAAGTGTTGGGGAGGGGACATTGCCGGGGCAGCTGACCTAAACCAACCAAAGGGATATTCCATAACACCTGATGTCACACTCAGCAATAAAAAGGGGGGCTCTCGTGGGGGAGGGAGCTGTTCCTCCTGAACAACCACTACGCATTTGAGGCCCTGCTTCCCAGGTGTCGTGGTTTAACCCGGCCGGCAGCTAAACACCACGCAGCCGTTCGCTCACCCTCCCCCCTCCCTCTCTGGGACGGGGGAGAGAAATGGAGAGTGAAGCCCGTGAGTTGAGATAAAGACAGTTTAATAAGACAGGAAAATAATAATAACAAAAATAATAATAACAATAATAATAATAATGATACAATGGTGATAATGCGAAAGTAATAGTATGTACAAACAAGTGATGCACAATGCAATTGCTCACCACCCGCTGACCGATGCCCAGCCTAACCCCGAGCAGTCCGGCCCCCTCCCCCCAGCTAGCCACCCCTATATATTGTTTAGCATGACGTCAGATGGTATGGAATACCCCTTTGGCTAGTTTGGGTCACCTGTCCTGGGTCTGTCCCCTCCCAGCTCTTACTGCACCCCCAGCCTGCCCGTTGGCAGGACAGAGCAAAAGGCTGAGATGTCCTTGGCTTAGTATAAGCACTGCTCTGCAACAATTAAAGCTCGTTGATGGGAAGTAGA